TACTCATTGAGCCGAGGAGGGACCAGAGCCGGTGGAGGTGTATGGACGGCTGTCTACGGGCAGCCACCGGTGGTTGGGGGCTGCTGTTTTGACAGATCTGCCTGCGTCGTCCATTCCCTCCTGTAAAGACACGAGACACAAAGCACAGGAAGTGGAGGGAGGTAGATAGCTCTGAATATGAATGGTACACTGCAGGGGCGGTTAATAATTGGGAAGTGTTGGACTATTAATCTGAGAGACACGGCGATGTTGGGTTTTGTGTTTGTGCACTGCTGTATTTCTCACACTATACTGTACTGTCTTCACCTCTGCATATACTGACGAAACATCTCATAACGTTTCCTATAAGCCATTCATAGTAATATCACAAGCACAACAGCAAGTGCAGTACTTGAATAATGCCCATTATAGTGTATACTTAAAGCTCTGATGGCACTGTAATGAAACACTGAGGCCATTCATCAAAACTTCTGAGAACAAGCTTCCTCGGGTTACTAATCAATTCCGCTTTTACATTTACTATATGTGTTTGTGCCTATGCGAACATGTCCAAATATCTATGAGTGCAATGCAGTAAATGAGTGTTTCCCTCCATCTCTCCAGATACGTCAGAAGTTAATATAGAAGGTGCTTTGACTGCCATGACAAGTTAAGTAGAGGGAACGGGACCATTGTCTTCCAAATCAGCTGTCAGTGTGTTTCTGCTGTCAGCAGTTTGACTCACTACCTGCCTGGTTAATCATCGAGCCACTCCGAGCTGCTGGAGGTGCATGGCCCACCATCACGGACCCCCATCACCGCCACAACAGGACAACATCTGATTGACAGATTAGCAAGCACTGGCGCTTTTTCAAAGGGAGGGGGGTTGAAACAGGGTGGAGAGTAGTGATTGGAATTTGAAGGAGCTGTGAGGTAGAGGAGGTGTGTGTTTGTGTGGGCAGATAGGGTGGAGGAATGAAGGTTAACAGGTCTTCTCTATGATGTATGTGTAGCTGAGGAGTATGAAGATGTGAGATTTCCTGTATGGGCTGAAAGTTTTTGCAGAGGAAAGTGGCAGAGGCGGGTCAAATGAGAACATTTGCGGACCGCAGAGTGAGTGAAAGCGCTGCTCGTGTGCCTGTGTGTCAGCAAGAGCTGGGTGTGAGGATAAAAACATCAGGATGACATGTTTACCATCTAACCAGTCAAAGCAGAAAATGTATGACTTTGTCTTCAACCACTCTCATAACTGAACCAAACCAAACCAAACAGCGTCTTAATAGCGTGCGGTTTTTCCCTGAGGGCTAGCTGGACGAGGAAGACGCAGGGAGACAGTCTGACAAATAGAGAGGATTCCTTTGAAAGTGAAATTGCCTCCCCTATTGGACATTAATGCTGCTACAACCAACATTTATCCCCCCACCCTGATAGGTTATGCCCACTTTAGTCTTCTCCCCACCTCCTTTGATTCCCTCATGCACGCCCGCTGAGGTTTGATTTCAAATGGAAAAATTAATGGGAGAATAATAGCCTTGGGCCTCACTCTCTTCCCCACACACACACACACACACACACACACACACACACACACACACACACACACACACACACACACACACACACACACATCTTAGTTGGTCTACAGGGGGACAGAAAGGGGGGAGTAAAATTTAGATCCATTCGCCTCACTTGGTCTGCTATTCCATTGTGACACACACACACACACACATACACCAGGGACTTTGTACCTCCCCACCACCACCACCCTCGTTTACACCTTAGAGGGCTTAACTTTCAAATATTAGTACAGTGGCTGTGCGGGTTTCAAATAAATAAATAAATAAATGAGGACGCAATGATTAGCAATTCTCCTGATAGTTGTATCAATGTGTTTCATATTCATTTTCACTTCCAGGAGAATATTTCTGCAGAAACGGTGATTTTGAGAACTTTCCAAGCTTTTAGAAAGGCCCCTAAAACCGGTACGAGGAGTTTCATTTCCACATTATTTGCAGCAACTCACCAACAGTAGCTTCAAGAGGAATGCAAAGTCCCTTACTTAGATTTACACAAAACAGATCAAAATAGGATTCTTCTTCTCCTCCAAATATGTTGCACGTGATTTAGAATACTAAAGTACACAGGATGCGTTTAAAGACGAGTAAATATAAGCTTTCTTATTCCTGCAGTTCTGAGTACCTCTGGTATAGAATTGGCAGGAGTCAGATGTTAGAGATCACAAAAATAGATGCGCACACACACACACACACACACACACACACACACACACACACACACACACACACACACACACACACACACACACACACACACACACACACACAAGATGTGCAAGTTTCACTTCAGCTGATACAGGGCCAATTTGGTTGCAGGCATTATAAAATCAAAGTTAAGACTCATTGCTCTTAGGCTAGCAACACAAGAAGTGTGTGTGTGTGTGTGTGTGTGTGTGTGTGTGTGTGTCTGGCTGGCTGGGGTAGGGGGTCGGTTGTTAAGAGTTTAAAAGCGGAAGAGGAGTTGGTGTAGAACCAGTATTGATGTCGGGGAAGCCCACTGGCACTTTCTGTTCAAACATTTGAGAGGACTGGCCTGCCGAGCTGCAGTGCCCGGGTGGCAGGATTCCCGCTCTTCCTGTTTCTCCTGACTTTGAGGAATTTTACGGTGAACAAACTCCCAGCGCTCCTCTCACACGCCCCGCACCTCATCACAGATACCTGCCTCAGCAAAACTAGAGGGGAGCGAGACCGAAAGGGAAAGGGAACTTTCCAGGCATTTGAGGAGTTCCTATCTCTTGTCACCATTTCTGTGTATCACACAGGATGTTCCAAAACTATTTTTAATACCACAGATGCATTATCACTCTTTTTATGTTAGACATTCTTCCACTGAAAGCACTGGGTGATGGGTAGGAGTCAGTCATCCTAATTCCTAGCTCACTGGCTGCAGATGTCCTGCGTGATGGGTGTGGAATAACCTACAGGAGACCATCTTTCTGGACCTGGTCCAAAAGGAAATATCTTCAGACTGTTGCCAAAACTCAAGCAGACAGACAGAGAGGAGTCAATGAGAATGGGTGGCGCTGGGCCCTGACTCATGACTCAAAGGTGTGCAATTTCAACAATATTACAAAAATATTGACTGAACTTCTGGTGGTTTCATCTGTGACTGTTCAAGTGTCTTGGCGATAATCAGTTCAGACAGCTACCGAGAGGCATGAATTTACAAGTTCAGGGATGCTGGGTTTCAATCGTAGTGCCTTCTTCACAGGAGACTTAGGTGGAAGACAACACATTAAAAGAAAACAAAAGGGCTGTTGAAGGGGTGTCTAGGGTAGAGTGATGGTGCGGCACACTTATAAAACAAGCCACCGTCCCCACGACTCTCGCAGTGTGCCTTTGGGCACATGTAGCATTAATTGCTGCCTCCACAGAGCCTGCAGACTGCACACACTATCTATTGCTCGCATCAAAGAAACCACACGCTGAACTTTATGAAATTTTTATTCAATATGTTCACTTCTCTTCCCCTTTTCCCTCTCTTTCTTCCTATTCCTATTCCCCACCTTGGCCCCCCTCTCCCTTTTTTAGCGCCGCCACCAAACAGACAAGAAAGACTTCTCTCTGCCATGTTTTTCGGCTCGACTTCCTTCCTGCCCAGAAGCACTCGAGTATCTCGTTAGTTCTCTCACAGCTAACATCTCTCCTCTATCTGCCAGGAGCAAAAACCTGATCGCGGAGGAGGGGGGGATGAAGAGAAGAAAAGAGAAGAAAGGGGAGACTACATCAAGAAGTTTGGTGGGTGAGATTCTCCGTAGAGCTAGGTGAGAAACTGTAATATCATTTAGCTACAGTAATTACAGATACAAGAAGCACACAAAGGAAAGAACAGAGATGAGAGGGTTTTCTCTCCCTGTGGACAATGTACACCGAAGGGCCTAAGTTTCATCATAAACTTAGCACAGATTCAAGTACATGCAAAATCACATCGCAAGATCATTGTTGGTGTGACATAGCATTGCCCTGATTTCTAATACATGAACAAAGGTTTGTAGAAAGGTTGCTTCCACAGTTAGTTCTTTTCAATAAAACACCACTTTGCCCATTGCCTGATTATGACAGCTGAGCAAATCCAGAGTTTCGACTGATGCACCCTGCAAATTACCTTCCTTTTAACTGCACTCTCTTACACACACACACTCACCCACACACAGTGGTCATCCATCAAAGCAGTGAGTGTTGTTTCTTCCCCCACAAGTCTCATACACACAGGTATAAATCACTACGGCTGATTTCTGGGGCCAGGGTTTAAATAATTAAAGAGCTTTAATTTATCAGGATTTAGCACCCCTTGACAATAGGGCTGACAAAAGAGAATGAGAGATATATTGAGAAAGAAAAAAAAAAAGCTTATTATACATGAGAAACACATACAAAATTATTACACATTTTACTGGAGAGAGAAACGAACATCTAGGCCCAAGTGGCACCAAAGACTACGTGAAAAGGCATTAAGGTTCTGCTCTAGAGCTACTTGATCTGGGTGTATGCAGTTTTATTTACCCGTTGATAGAAGACAAATGCAATGCAACTGTGTGTGAAGATTTGCACTACTGTATATGGTTGATTTGTGACAATTACAAGTCATTGGAAAACAACACTGGTGTAAAATAATAGACACAATTCACAATATAAGAACCAAAACAAAAACATCCAGCAAAAATCAATCGAAGTCAAACAAATTCCTTGTTACTTCACATGCTGCCAGTATTTGGAAGCATACAAATAACTATGCTGATTTTTTTTCAGAACTGTTGGCAGTGATATTAAGAAAGATGAAAACCAGCAAAACAAATTTGAGTTTTTTTTTTTTGTAGACACTGTGAACACTGGGCATGAAAAAAAAAATGCACGACAGTAAGTTACAGTTAAAAGTCATATCATGTCATGTCAAGTGAAGTTATGGTTATTCTGTTAAAATTATAACCACATGACCCCACCGCCCCCCCCCCCAAAACCTCAGTTTCCAGTGAAATTTTTGCATGCTGCATTTGATGCACAAAACCCAGTTAAAAAAGTCAGAGAACAACACACTGAGTAAAGCACATTTATAGCATGAAATCTGTGTTGAATTATGTCTTGCAACAGAGCCAGGAGGCTGGTGAGGGTCAGCGGCTGTCATGGGTGGCCAGAGAACGGTGGAACTCTACTGCCCTCCTATGGCTATAAACATGCAAAGAAAGTCTCGCCACATGGAAAAAAAAAAAAAAAAAAATCACATAACTGACCAGTTTTGACACACTGATGGTCTCCTACTTGCATGTTTTGGTTCACCGGATGAAGTGTTAGCCCTATGAGTTTTGGAAGTCAGAAACAAGATCTACCAGCAGGCACAAAGACATAAGGGAGAAACATTACAATAAAGCAAACAGCCATCTCTGGCTTTGTTTGACCCTCGTATTATTTATTCTTTCCAGTAGATCTCTGAAAACAGAACAAACACATACTCTCTCTCACACACATACATACACACACACACTTCACCCAGAAACAGCATAAAAAAGACATCTGCTAATGAACTTAGAAACAAAAAAACAAATTCCCCTCTTTTGAGAGTAAACATGCATCGTCACTCTTGAGATTATATATTATTGTTAACATTACTTGACTGATGACTTCACTGGGTGAAGTTTGTTGTTTGCTGGCAATAGTTAGCCACCTAGTGGTCAAACCCTTTTATAACATCAAGTATTGACAACAGGGAATTTTAATTACAACTTTGGAAGTTTTTGGCTATATGACACCATGTCATAAATGAACGAACAGCTTAATAAACATAGTTTAGTAGATATTCAACAAACTATCAAATCTACAGACTCAACTGGGGGAAGGTAAGAGATTATCACACCAGAAACACAGTATCACTCCTAAATCAGACAGTACAATATGCTTTTTTTAACCATATTGCGTGATTTATTATCTTAATAATAAACCTATAGATTCATAGTTACAATACCAATCCCGTGTGAAACTGATTACCCACAGCAATGTAGTACCACCATCCTCATGATAGATGAATGATGATAAAGTGTGGTATTCTGTCTTCAGAAGACTTCACGTCACCATCTCCCCTTCACTTCACTGGATCTTTCTTCTGGTGGATTGTTCCTCACACTTCAGTTGTCCAAAAGGGAGCGTTGTAGAGCCTCCTGGATCATTGTGTGCTCATCTGTGGAGTAGTCCTGCAAATACATGGGTGTGAGGAAAATAAAAACAGACAACATAAGTTCACTAGTCAATAACATAAAAAAGAAACTCTGTATAGTTTTTTAGGGCCTCAACCTACAACAAAAGTATCATAGGAGAAGGTGTGTCTGATCTTCAGGTGCTGGAAAAAGTCAGCACTCCTGTAGTTAGGGTCCCCCCAAGGCATTGAGGCACAGATGGGGCATACCTAAACAGATATAAAGAGAGTGTAAGAAAAACATTTCGGTACAAATTATTAACCATGTTTAGATCCAAACATTGTGTGAAACAAACTGATGGAATCACAATGGAAATTGGGTTTCTTACTACTTGGCGTGCATCTCGAGCATGCTGGGAAGTGCAGTGTTCAACTAGGCCGTCCTGATCGAGGTTCTGGCAGTTGCAGTATGGGCAGGTGAAGGTGTAGCGATTTGGCACTGGACTGTGGTAAAGAAACCAAATAAAAATAATGGATATTAAAATATGTCACGCTGCTAATTCTGTATTTGAACATTTTTTCTACAGATATTTGTTTCTTAAATATAGGAATGTTTTGCTTTTTGTTGCACTCTGGATGCAATGATATTATCCATTATATTGGTTATTATCATTATAATATTGATATCATGACATGAGAGAAGATGTCATCATCCTAGATTTTTGCTAAAATAACAGTCTTTTTCTTTTTTTTCTGGTGCTGCCTTACTGCAAAGAGAGGCTGTTTCCTAATTAATCCAACTGCGAAATGAACAATAAAGGCCACAAAGTTTTATTGTTGTATCTCCAAGTGAAAACAAAATGTTATGTTTAGGTCTAAATGAAGGTATCTGTTTTTACCCCAATAATCCATTACTACTGTCTTCTGCCCTGCAGATCTACTTACTTATGGCTTCAGTCTGCAGGTTGACTGTTTTGTTTACAAAGGGATGAGGTTAAAGAACTGGGAAGTCAAACCTAATGACAAGTCATGCAGATAGTTTAATGAAGCATATGTAACTGCTGTTGAAAAAAAAAAGGGTTTAAGGCTAGTTTCCTTGGCTACATCAGACTAGATTGTAAACAGGTTTCCAGTGGAGTCTATGGTGATGATGCTGAGAAAAACATTATGCTGTCCTATACAGATTCTATGTAAACTATGACAGTAAGACCTATGTTGTAATATACCAGAAAATTTCTTTAGCAGTCATACTTGAAATTAGGGCCATCGCTAAATGGATTGTAGAACTGTGTAGAACAGTGAAGTCCTGAGCCATGTCGAACATCTCTTTATTCTCTCAATTTATTTGAGTGCCAAAGTTATGTGTAAAATGTACAGTATGCACTATATACACAGTAAATAGTAGCCTCAGAAATCCACCTCTACTTTTTGCCCCCCAAAAAAACCCACAACACAATGCCTTGTCTTTGATAAATATATTGTTAGACATTTAGGCTGAAAACAGCCCTGTGTTTAAAAGTGAAAGTGAAAGTGTTGATGTAGGCTTGTTGTTTCAGAGGTCTGAAACACAGTCCAGGAAGTCCAGTTTATAATACCATAAGACAGGATTATTCTACAACTCTGGAGAATTATCTTAGCAACAATTATTTTGCTTTGTGTTGCAATGATGACAAGGTAAACAGTAGAAATACAGCATTCATGTTGCAAAGTAATCTACCTGCAATTTGTGCTTGTACCAATTTAAATGGCCAACTCAGCACCTTGTCCTCTGCGATGGCATTGCTTGCTGTGTTAACACAGTAATTTCATTGACATGAATGAGGGGGATTGTGCTTTTACACTTAGGGCAGGAGTTGGTTTGAATATGGCTTTAAAGTTATGCAACACTACAACTGACAGTGATTGCTCAAAATAAACACAAGTGTCCAAAATCACAATGTACAGCTCACTATAGTATAAAAATGTTGAGGATTTATTATGTAGGGAATAGTGATTGAGTCATGATTTTCCTAATTGCGCTATACTTCACCTGATGATGGCAGGCTGGGTCTGGGCAGTGGTCCTAACTCCCTCCTCAATGTAGTCCTGGTATTTTGAACAGGCAGCTGTGTGGCTTCTCATCTGAGAAAGGCCAATCTGAAAAGTGAGAAAACACGTCAGTAACCACCACTGCATGACCAGCATCACATAATTGTTGACTCGAGTTTGCAATTTTTAACTCTGCTACTGTCTGAGTATAAAGACTGAAATTTAGGCTCAACATGAAATGAAGTTTGTGCATATGCAGTCATGGTAACTTAAGCCTCAGTTGTTGCCTTGTTCAAGGTCGTGATCTGTCTTAACCCTTGCATGTATCCAAATCCAATTTACAATAAACCAGCAAAGGTCTTTCGGACACCTTATGTCGGCTTTTGCAATGTCATACCTGAGCTCCACACCCCTTGCAAGCCGCCACAGATGATTGGATGAGGGCCTCTAGTTCAGCAGCTTTAGTCCAGTTTTGGCCCAGCGAGGCCCTACATACAGCGCAGACAGGCTTCTGTGGACGCAAACACTCCTGCAGACAACTCTGGCAAAACCTGACAAGAGATGAGAGTAGGAATGTGATGATGATGATGATGATGATGATTTAGATCATACTGAGGATATGATGTTTACATAGAACATGAGAATTGTCTCCCTGTAAACAAGTAGTCAGGTTTATGAAAATTCATGTGCAGTCTTGTCCTGATTTCTCACCATCTCACATTATCCTGGTTTCTATTTGAGTACTACAGGTATTTATCCAAGTTAAGCAATACTGGAATAAGGTCTTATCCAGGTTTCTGAACCCAGAATGAGATGTTTACATGCACAGCATGTAACCTCCAAAAGCCTGATCATAACCAGGATACTAGAGCACAGGTGATCAGCTTTAATTTGGTCTCTGGTGAGCTGCAGGAAATAGCTTCAGGTATCCCTTCTATTTATAGGCAATCATTAAAACACACTGTCTGACAAGAGAAACTGGATACTGTCATTTGCAGGAATATCCCTGTTAAGTCCCTGACAAGAGCTTCCTGTAAAGCAGATGGAAAGTCCCCACCTCAAGAGGGCGCAGGGACTTGTAGTCCTTTTAAGTGATTTGACAAGTTGAGGCAGTGGCGATATAAACTACAACTCCCAGGTGAGGCCTCCTCTTTGATGTAAACAAAACTGAAACTGATTTAGCAAGCTTGCACTAGTTTTTACCAAAAATTCAAGTGAGCAGAATAGAATTACAGGATCACGACAGAAGCAGACACACGCGTGGTCGATGTTTTGCGAGTCTGGTGGCACGACACATTCATAAACAAACCGTGTCCCCCATTATTTTTAGCTCGTACCGTTGCATCGCTGGTGGTAGACGTGGGTTAAGGGGAGGACAATCGGGTAAAAAAGGCAAAATACTCACGTATGGCCGCATTGTGTCTTTACAGGACTGTCGAAAATTTCGAGGCAGACTGGACAGACGAATTCTGACATGTCGCTGCTCCCGTCAGAGACGTTTTTCTTGTGCTGTGCTGCGCTAAACCCTCCGAGCATCGCCATTTCTTTTCTTCACTGAGACAGCCCCCCACCGACCGTCCCGGTATCGACGTCACCGGCTCCTGGTTGTGCTTTAAAAGCGCGAGGGCGGAGTTACGGCTCAACGTCATGGTAACATTCCCAAATGATTTTGTAAAAACCAGGGGTGGAGGAAGTATTTAGATCCTTTACTTTAGTAGTGGAATGCTAGATGAAGGAATTGCTAGTGCAAGGCTTCATATTGCACAAAGATGAAAAATTGGAAGAGGTATTAATGTTGGGGCCAGGTTAAACATCATAAAACACAACTGGTTGATATCACACACACAAACACACACACACACACACACACACACAGACAGAGGCATGTATATGCATACTGACATGGAGCATCCATATATATTTTCCACCCACTGCTTCCACTGTGCAACAAGTGAAAGCCTTGCATTTAAAATCTTACCTAAGAAAAAATACAAAAGTATTATCAGCAAAATGTACTTCAAATATCAAGTATTTGTTCTACAGAAAAATGCCCCATGGCTGTAATATTATGATAATATTACTTAAAAAAAAAAAAAAAAGTTAAGATAAATTGACCGTTTTGAGCTTTGAACACTTCATAGATATCTGAAATGTGGAGGGCCCAACCATACACTGTTTCTTGTAAGAGGTCTCCAGCCAAAAAATATTGGGAACCACTGGTTTAATCTCTAATTTTAAAACCTCATTTTATGTCTTTTATGTAAAATATAAATCTATAAAGTAACGAGTAAATATAGCTGTTAAGTAAATGTTGTGGAGTAAAAAAATACTATATTTCCTTCTAAAATGTAGTGGAGTAGTGTACAGCAGCAGAAAACAGAAATAGTCAAGTAAAGTACAAGTACCTCAAAAGTATCAAGTCTCTTAAGTAGAGAAGTTGGGAAGATGAACTTATTTCCCATCACTGATAAAAACAGTGGACAACCATTGAAATATTTTGAGCTGTAACCAATGATGTTTTAATTGCTCTATCTGCTTATATTCTTGATTAATCAATAAAATGTTTTGTCAAATAAATAAAATAATTGGAATTATATACAACAGAACGGCAAATCATCAAATTGTATAAGCTAGAACTGAAGAAAGTTTCACATTGTTGTTGCTAGGATTTATATTAATTGTTTAATGAACATATTGTATGAACTCATAGCATAAATACATTTCAAGGAAGTTAAACATAATTTCAAAATAACTTTTAGCAAACCAAAATAGTTTCCTAAAAGTGTTTACTTGCTGGACGTTATTGTTGTTGGAGTACTACAAAAATATTAAGCATTTTAGATTCTTATCCATCATGCAATACCATTGGATAGGTGTCTGGCCCATGTTAAATTCATTCTGCTGCATGACAACGTAACCCAACATACAGCTCCAACAATGGAGTCATAAAGAACTATCTTCAGAGCCTAGAAGAACAAGGAGTCCTGCAACAGATGGCCTGATCTCAGCATCACTGATTTAGTCTGTGATCACATGAAGAGACAGTAGCCAAGCCTAAAACAGCCTAAGTCCACAGAACAACTGTGCAAATTTCTCCAAAATGCTTTGAACAACCTACCTGCCAAGTAATACAAGGGCAATCTGTGCTGTTTTAAAGGCAAAGGGTGGTTACACCAAATATTGATTTGATTTTTTTGTAATGTTTACTGCACTTTGTATGTACTAGACAGTACTAGACACAAATATTTTCAATGCACACAAATACACACTGCAAAATTAGTAACAAACTGCATGTGGGAACTCACATTTATGTCTCCCAAAAATACTCTTGTCATGCAACTAATACATTCTGCACACTGGTGGTGATATGGATGATGGGCTCTGTATCCCTGCCTCCTCAGCACGTGGGCCCCTGATGCTGATGAACTGTCAGAACCAAGCGCATGCGCGTTGTGTTGATGGGAATTTCCAACAGTTGAGGAGGCGTAGCTAGCCACGGCTAGCACTTGTTAAAGGTAAGATGTGCGGGTGGTAGTGTTTCTGCTCACTAAACGGTGCGATCTCTCAGCTGAATCAGAATTAGACTGGGTCGTACAAGAGTCACTATATAGTTACGGTATATGTTTTGATAACTGACACTAAAATCGCCAAAGATTTCTATCTAGCGATGGACCGCCCTGCTAGCTAAAGCAATTGTTAGCTAGCCAGCTGCGCAGAAATGGGCGTTCACTGCTTAGCTTATACTCAGCTGGGGGGCCCATGTCAGTCACATCATCAGGTTTTGTCGGATTTGAAAGTCATGGAAAATTCATGTGCAGGCTGTCCTCACACTGTTTCTCTTATTATCAACATTGGTCGGGGTGGAGGGGCTCTGTTGCGTTTAATGCGCAGTGGTAAGGCATGCTGGTGTTAGCAAAGGCATGCTAGCTCGCTAAACGGATGCTTGCTAAGGTTGATGTGCGAGGTAACTAGAATAGCCGGTCGGCTCGCCTGGGAACGGGAAGCACAATCCTTCCCCTACTTTGGTTCAAGCCTCACAGCAGATGTTAGACTTACACGCTTCCATACATTTAATTTTGCCTTCTTAATTTAAGCTAACTAATGCTAAGTGCAGGTAACCATGGGTCACACGCCTGTAACGTAGTACCGATAGCTTACATATTCACTGGCGCAAACAGGAGCGCAAGATAAAAGGGACACGTTTGTCAACAGTCCCGACCCTAGATATGAACCTAGTTATGAACCTTAGTTTTCTTTTGCGTATATAATTATGAAAATCTGTCAGTCCAAACTATTAGCTGTAAGACCGACATAAAGTAGCCCACACATCCTCACATCATCCCACTCAGAGTACAGTCTCTGTTTCTCAAAATAGTGATACCTATACATCCTCCCTCTTATCTGAACCATTAGATTTTTTAAAAACATGATTTAATGATGGTTGGTACATATGCATATTGTTTTGAACAGAATTAACACTGACTGAATCACAATTAAGGAATTTGACCTAAGTTTCCTTCTGTCTTTGTGTATGTCAGACTGAGAGATTTCCATTTCTCTAATGCCCTCTTGTGTCATTACAGCTTGGAGACAGCTCAGAAGAATCACACAATAATGAATGTGTCTTCATGATGAGTGACCTTGAACCCTGCACATGCTGAAACCAAGGAATGGAATAGATACAACTCTGCATTAACAGAGCGTGAAGCAAAAGCTGCTCCTGACCTCATCTAGCACGACATAGGCCTGTTTGTCTGGAAACAACTCAGGCTTTGAGCCAGTACCAGAGATGCCCGTAAGAAGGCATCCCTACAGGCTGCAGCCTAGCTACGCCAACTGAAAGCATCAGACAAGTGCGTCTCTTGTTTAGAGGATGTGCTGCTGATTGGACACAACGTTTCATTCCTCTTCCACCTCTCCAAAACGTTATTAACGTTGAGTGTGTGCCAGTGTGTACAGTGAATAATGGTGACAAAAAATGGTGCTTGAATGTAGCATCCTGGTGCAGGGTGTGCTAAAAGGGGTGAGGCTCTCTCAGAAAAGTATAACAGCTGACTGATAGTCTGCTGCTGATAATGGATGCTAAGTTAAAAGAGGACCTGTTTCGGAGGTATGTGACGGCACTGGAGAGGCGTCTGGAGGAGGGAGGGGAATACACAGGGTTTGGAACTGCACCAGAGGGGGACAGAAGCAGATATAAGGACAGTGAGGCCCTACTCTCCACAGCCACAGCTCTGCTTGGGGCATACCAGCCAGATCCGGCACAGCGTTTCCGTATGGTGCGTTTCTATGAGGTGGTGGAGAACTCGCTCCGCTGCCAGAGAGGGGGCAACCTGAAAAGTCTGGAGAGAGCCTTCCACACCCTGGAAACCATCTGCACCAACCTCTTGCTCTTTCCTTGGAAGAAGGAGTTCAGATGTATAAAGGTGAGTTTAGTTTATTCACAGCGTTGTTTTTTATGCTTACATAAAGCTTAAAGCTGACATCAACCAGTATCTGGTTATTAAAACACCAACAGCTTTCCCCAGTATTCCCCATATTTGCATACATACATTTCCCATCCGCTGTATGAACACTTTCAAAATTTCAAAATGAACACCTGGAAAATAGAGCGAGTTGCAAAGAAATAAAATATTACTTTATATTATAATTTTAATATGATCTTTCAAAGCCTCCTTTTATAGTAGCCGTGCCACTGGTCACAAAGACTGCAGTGGTTTTTAAGCACTGAAATCGTACAGAGGTAGTACAGAATATTTACAGATTCACAGTGATGATGTGTAGGATGCAAAAAAACTTTTTGATTTAAATGCGACATCACATCTTTGTCTCCATAGTTTATCGAGCACCTAATAACTTCTATAAAGAATACATCAACACAAGGCTGCCCAACATTAGCACCTGACATATTAACAATAAAATATACATCCTTTTATATAATTAACATCTACACGTAATCCTTTTTGGTTTATTTAGTATTTAGTTTGATAGAAATATTTCTTTTCTAATCATAACACTTAAGAGTGTGTTATATGTAAACAAAAGGGTAGCATCACCACCAAAATATAAAACACAGGACTCGAACCTGCTGCTAAAATGATCTTCATCTGTAATTTTTGTAGACACTGTAGAAAAACAAACCTATATCAGAGGAATTGCATGTGATGTCTATTAATAGGATAGATTTTAGCTTTACTGTGTCAAGCTACTATAAGTGACTGACACTAATGCTGATTAACTTGTTTCTCTTTTAGACCTTCACTGGCCCATACGTGTACCATCTGCAGTCTGCCATTTCTGATTCTGAACTCCGAGCTCTAATGCGCACCATTGGCTACGCCTGTGACCATGATTCGCAGTTCCATTTGCAGGAGCACCCAGGAGGCGCAAATCATCTCCGCCAGTTGGCGTTTGAGCTCTTCCTGGCCCAGGCAGAGTGTCGTCTTCTGGGAGAGGTAGTGGCTCTGGCCCGTGGTTCAGCCTCAGAGCTGGAGGCCCTGGAACTCCGCAGAGGTTGCAGAGATGATGCAGCTGGCTGTGCTGAGGCGCTTCGCAGACGTGACAGCCTTGGGGCAGATATGGCTCGGCTGTCTGTGCGGCCGTTGGATATAGAGAGGCCTCATGCCCACCACCTGAGGCGAGGCAGCCGACCATCAAAGTCTGTGGATGTTACAGATGGGGCTGGTCACTGGCACGCAGCTGTTAGCAAGCCTGTCTTGAAGGCCTCATTGAGTCTGAGGAAGGAGCCTCTGTTTGTGGATGCAGAGGAGGATATGAAGGATGAGATCATCAGGCCCAGCACCTCAGCATCTCTCTTCTCAGTGGTAGCTCCACCTTCCTATAGCCCTGTTGCGGATTTCTTCCCAATTCAGTCACCTCCCCCGGCTGATGCTTACACGTCCTACCACCTGTCCTCCTTGGATGAGATTGACTTGTACACTGAGAGGGGTGGTGCTGGGACGGGAGGAAGGCAGACTCCATCTCGACCTCCATCCAGAGAGCCTCGGGAGGCAAGGGATGCGTGGCTGCTCAAAGCTCACGGGAGTGTGAAGTGTCAGGGTTGTGGGCTTGGCTGCTCAACTATGGCTTCCTGCCAGAGGTGTGACATGATCCTATGTTCTGCCTGTCATGATGTAGACCCCTCCCCTTGCTGTGGCCTCCAGGACTACCACCCCAAATCCCCGCGACCCCTTGATGGATACATCCCTGTCAAGGAAAAGCTCTCTGTCTACTCTAATACTCACTCCCACTCCCATCTCCACCCGCACCCCCTCACACTGACTCACTCGCACTCTCACCCGCATCCTCACCCCCAGATGGTGGAAAAACCCCTTATGTCCACTAAGCTGTTTCAAAGCAAGTCTGTTGCCTTGACAACGCCAAAGGGAGGCAGCAGTGAGCGAATAAGCATGGGGGGATCGCGGTGCGGGTTTTGCAACAAGCCAGGTGCATCACACACCTGTGTGAACTGCTCGAAGGTGTCATGTGACTCGTGCATGGGCTTGTATGCAAAGGATATGTGCACGCGAAAGAATCCCCAGCACAGCTTTGTGCCCAACCATCAGCTCAACTTCAAATCTGGCACCATATCTCACCTGGTGTACCGATGAATCAGGCAGATTTTTTTCTTCTCCCTTCTAGTCCTCTCCCTTAACCCGCAGCGTAGTCTTGCACTATTGCTTCAGCGCAGTTCCTACTTAAACAAGTAATTCACTATCTTCCCCTTTATCTGATGGTCTTATCGCTCTCAATAACAATCTCTTGAACTTTGTACATTTTCTCTTACCGTCAGTAGGGCCCTGGAATGCACATGCCACAGAGAGCCATATCATGTGCCCATCTCTCTGCCTTGTACAAGTTCAGGCCTTTTATCTATTTCTTCTTCCTTTTACCTTGCTACCTGCTCTTGAGTAGTCATGTGATGTTGTAGCGCTTCCCAAGTTCCTCAAATTTTGTCCTCCTCAAAAGGGAAACTGGAGAAAAGAGAGTTTATTCCTTCTCATCTTGAATGAATTCCGTCCAAATGAACATATATACTTTGCCTAACTTCTCAGCTAAAAATTCCTCTAATATATAAATATATATATATACATATATATATACAGTATATATATATATGTGTGTGTGTGTGTGCGTGAGTGCGTGCGTGTGTGTGTGTGTGTGTGTGTGTGTATGTGTGTGTAGAAAAGACTTCTGAGCTTGCATTCTGACAAAGGAGATCTTTTTAAACTTGAAAAATAGTAGGGAAAAACAGAAATCTTACACTGGAAGTCAATAAGTCAATAGTATATATTTTTAATCTCTATTCTCTAGAACAATGTGAGACTGTTAAATGGGCATGAGGTCTAGCATTGGGATTTTGGGGGTATAAACTTATGTCTGTGGGTATGGGGTGGGAGATATGGCAAAGGGACATATTGAGACAATGGTCAGATGCCATATATTCTATTTAAAAGATTATGCCTTGTAAATTAACCCTCAATTGTTTCTGGTTCCATGACTGAGGTTTAAATGCTGCTGTTGACTTGAGACATTGGAGATGTGTGGTGTTGACTTCTTTCTGGTAAATAGCCTGTTGAGTTGTGTCAGTTCCAAGCCCCCTATCCCATTTCATTACACTCCTCAAGCCTCCATGTCCATGATGTTGTAGTGCCCCCTTACCAGATCAGTGGTTCCCTGTCAGTCTCAGGTGGGGTCACAGGAGGCCTCACGCTAGGCCACAAATCAAGTGATTGCAGTTCTTGGATAGTGTGTGAGCCTATTGATTGGTTTTAGACAGTATGAAAGTGTATACACTGACACAGTTTCTGTCTACCTCAAATGGCTTCAGCTTATACACCCAGTTAGACATTGTGGTTTCAAACTAGCCCTGAAAGCCTAAGAAATACTGTATTTATTATAATATAATTTGCGACTTGTGTTTTGGCTAAATAGAATACATCTCCTTACAATCGATGGATTCAGTCACTTTTAAAGGTTAGCAGAGGTTATTTATTTTGTTTGGGCTTTTTGATATTTAAACAACATAGCACAGGGTTTTCTCTCTTGTAGCTGGTTACAGTTATATAAGCGAGGTGGACATAAAAACATGAACAACTGTGAATTATAATTAGGCAACTAAATACAGTAGCCCTACAACAATACTGCCTTTGCAAAGCTTGATTTGGTTGAGACCTTCAGAAAGGTGCTGGAATTTTATTTTAATTTTTGTGCCTGGGTTTTGTGTTGGTGGTGTGCTTGATAGCATAGTACCATAAATTGTTTTCTCATTCAATAAAAAATGAAGTTGCAGTTTAGTACAGTGAGAGACTATTGCCTCAAAAATGACAATTCAGTGATGGTGTATTGACGCCTCTCTGCCACCGTGTTAAAAGCATTTAGCATTTTACTTTCACAAAGATAGGATTTATATATTTTACAGTGATTCATGTTGTTGCATCCACCCAACTGTACACCACAGTAATATCAGGTGTAGTTTTGTGGTGAATTTCCAGGTCTGTTATGGTTATAATGTTTGTTGTTTTGCATATTTTAAGACCCTGGTAGACCCCCCCCCCCCCCCCCCCCCCCCCCCCCCCCCCCCCCCCAGGCCATTGAGTTTCCTCAAGCAAGTCGCTGCCATTTGCTGTGGAAAAGGTTGGGGTCATCACACGTAATCAAACTCTGCTAACATTTAAAACTGTGAGTGTCATGAATTTGTAGGGTTCTTTTAGTGATTAGGCTTTGATTCTCCGTGTAAGAGGAGAATTATATTGCAGTTGCTACCAAGGGCTAATTTTAAATCACATTTCATTAAAAAAAAAGTCTGGGTTATTTTGACAGACTGTTTAGGCTACCGAAGCCTTTATGTTCTGTCAGGAGTAACCTCCAAATGCCTTAAGCTCATTCAGCTGTCCTGTCCTTGAGTATTTTAACTTTTTGCTGTTGTCATTTATATTGCTCTGTTTTACCAGCCTGTAGCCTGCTCCATGACAGCTAAGGAAGTAATTTAAAAATGCACACTAATATTGACTAAGCGCCACACAGGGTTTCTAAGACGGAGCATATTGAACCAATGTGAATGCATGTCATCAGAATTATGCAGCAGTTCACACATTGTAAACCAATATATATACATACTATAGGCTTACAGAGAAGTCAAATTTGATATATATTTTCTTTTGCATACAGATACTAGCAAAGACACATTTGGTTAAAGGGGGTGGTGTCTGATCTCACACTTCTGTTCATTCCTTCCCTTTAAAACCAAGTTTTGTGTTTTGTGTCTTCATCATGTTAAGCAGCATAAAGAAGAGATGTTTTGATACTGTTTGGATGTAGCTTAAGGGTTCTTTCAAGGACGTTCTTGGGTCAACATTAGCTAACTAGGGTATCACAAAAGTCTTGAGTGACCTTAGGGGAGGTGTGCAATTGTTGTATTTTCATCTAATGAAGCCTTTCTAAATAGTTTGAATATTTATCATAGATATATTTCAGTTGCTCAACTCTGTTCATTGCAAATCATACCAGCAACAAAATGACTTTCAGAAGTATTGAGCCATGTTGCAAGAGTGATCATATTGCCAAATGAAGAACAAATATCTTATTGGAGTAAAAAACAGAATCCTGTGGCTTGCCTGGATGTACAGTTGATGTAACATTAATCTGTGATTTTGCTAAAGTTTAGCCTTGTGTATGTAGATGTTGGCCTTTTTAAGAAGCCTAGAAAGAGAATAATCAACATAGATACCTACCCGCACACCATGGGACATGGATATGACTCAGATCAGTGGACTGATAACTTGTAGAGGTCACTACAAAGGGCTAAACAGTCTTCAGGGCTGCTGCTAAGTTTGTGGGCACTGTTTTAATCTTTTAGTGAACAAATGACTTGTCATAGGTAAATATCTAATGTGGAGCTTACTTTACATTCATCAGTGGAGATGAATTACTGATGTTGGAAGAACAAAAGAGCTATTTTTATTTTGTGTCATGGAATACATTGAGCCATTTGAACATGATTGGTTTAACCCACAGCGGACACACTCAAGTCATTGTGGAAGTCAGTACTCCCTTTACCTCTTTGTGTGGTTATCTTACTGATATTAACAGTGGTGGTGTACTTAGGCAGCCCCTTTACCATTCCCTGTTTCCCCAAACTCTTTCTTGGCATGCTCTGTACAAGGCCCAAACCCATACCCCTTCTCCCTCAACCCAACACGTACCCTCACCCATTGTCTCCCCTCTCGCCTTCCCCCTTCCACCTTGGCACTGAGGATCATTGCACAACGTCTATGTGAAGGGGTATGGACCTTATGATCAATGTGTGGGCATACATGGGGGTGGAAAGGGAAAATAGCCAAAATTGTTAATTGGTGAATATATATATATATGTATATATGTATATAAACATATATGTATGTATATGTATACATATATATATACACACACACATATATATATATATATATATATATATACACACACATATGTGTGTGTGTGTGTGTATATATACACAGTTGTATATATATATATATTATATATAATTATAGTATGTATATATATTATATATATATAGTATAATATAATGATATTGAAACGTAAATGAGATTTTATAAAATAATTTAAAGAATAAAATTCTGAAAAAAATACTATTTCTTCTCCCTTCAATTTGTGTATGATTTATTGATTCTTTTTTTTACTGTCTTGCCATCTACTAAATTGAATACCCATTTTATTTAGCAAAGTGTGCTCTTAGAAATATAAAGGTGGGAAGTTTGCACATTTATAGGTACTATGACAATTTAGTACAGTTCACCATCTAACATCTCCACTGAAGGTTGACAACCTTTCTGCCCTGATAACATTATTTGTTTGTTTCCTGTCAGTTCAGTGTTTAAATGATGGCCAACTTCCTTATCTTCCTTAATTTGTATCTCACCTCTAACTCACTCACTCAGGACCTGTGTGTACAAGCTCTTGTTGAGTTCGCAGTCTGCCCACTTGTGCATGGTTTGGTTTTTCCTTGTATGACCAGTAGATGGTGATAAATACCCACACACATAGCTGACTGAAGCTGCATAAAATACACCAGTCCTGTTGGAAAAAAAATTCTTTTTAACTTTATGTATATGACTCAAAGTGAGAATTGATTTCATTTAATTTCTTAGCTTGGTCTACATTAGTAATATCAGTTACTATGATGAGCAGCTCTAAGACAGGTTTGAATGAATTCTGTATACACATATCAAAAGTAGTCTAATATTTCACCATGTTTATGCCACTGTTTCCTTCATTAGGGAAAGTCGAGCATCATTTTCTCTCCATGTCATGCCCCTCTGTTTTTGACACAAGATGTTGCATCACAGAGTGTACTAAAATAGTCGCGTGTCAAAACAAAACTTCTGTATGTTCAACAAGGTGAGAGGAATCGGTGTTGAAAATAGAAAAGAGCAACAACAATGCATTGTCACATTTCTGTCTTCAAGTTAGACCTATCCAAGTCACTCATGATGCCTCATGACTTCTGTGAAGAGAGGAGGAGATGTCTAGACATCACATTTCCACGGAATAAAACCAGATGACTCACACGGTTAGAGAGAGGGGAGAGACCGGTCATGTGCTAAGTTATTTGTTTATCCGTATCTTTGGCTCAAATGGAGAAGAACTACCTACTTAAATAATAATTGAACAGATGGAAGAAACCAAATAAGAGACGGATAATTTGTCACAGAGCTCAAGTGACATGGAGCAATATCTGTGAGAAATTACTTAGTTTTCACATGAGCAGCATTTACATTACCACCCAACAAACAGTCGTTAACTCTATGAGATAATACAAAGTGAAAGTTTTGATTGTTGCCTGTTCTTGCGATCTCTCAGTATGACTGGCAGGCAGTAGAGTTCCCAAATTTAGAATAGGATTCCTCATTTGTACCAATAGACACAATAAACTTCAGTTAGCTGTTACCTAAAATCCAAATGGTATGTTTCATAAACTACAAGAGAATCATTTTGGAATGGACACCTGCTTGGCATAAGCCTGCAGATGCTTGTTTTGGCTCACAGTCCTTTAACAAATGAGAACTGCTGTCTGGTGCCAATCATTAGCCTAAATAAGCTAATAATAACAATAATGATAATAATTGAATAATTTTCTGGATCCG